CTGGAAACGGGTCTTTCGCTTGGAACATCAAACCATTCACTGTTTTTATTGTGGATTTCGTCGCGTAAAGAGCAAGCGAAGTGTGAATTGAAAAGGTAGAACTGAAAAGCTGCTTTGATCTGGTTTGGTTTCATCAGTAGTGAGAATCCATCGACCCAATTAAGTATCTAACCCGGGATATCACATATCATATGTAAGCATACTACCTGCTTGGCCGCCAGGAAGCCGATTCAACCGATTTTAATTTTGTCTTTATATAGCAAGATTGCAAACGTAGATTGCACTAGCTGGTGTCGTTCTAGAGCGAGAATGAACAAAATTCTCTTCTACCGATGATGCATGAACATTTGTTAAGCTGGATTTTAAATGCATACGCTCATATTCTGGAGTCTTCAAATAGGAAGCTACCGGTGATATTTCTTGTGTTAGGTATTTGCACAATCGAGTGTGCGGGATCACCGCACTTACGCACACGCACGCACTCTTCTGCCTTCCATCTGTTCATCGTCACGGATCGATTCGATTAGTTCCTGAATTCTGTCACTGGGGGACTCCAAGTTATCCTTTTGTCTTTAACTGTGGCTGATTGTGCTTTTGCTGACAAAAGTGTGTCTAATAAAATGTAATTTGTCGGCCCATTGCTAGTGATTTTGCTCTTAGACCAATGAAGTCGTATGAAGGACAGGGTAGAACAGAGTCTGATGTGATCCAGAGATCCATATCGATCGAAAATAAGCGGGTTTATGGAACAATTGGGTCTTGTTACTTACCGACCTGGATACTTACATGAAATTATTTTTATAGACAACTGAAGAATATCTCCACCGACGTCCTTATCTGTTCTAGAAAATCATCCAACATTCAGCTTCCTGGAAGTGGACCACAAGATAAAATTCTTTGGGTCTGGGTTCGGTTCTGTAATTCAATGAAATTTTGGCAATGGTCAAGACGATTAATCTTGGCATCTATCACATACACAATAATCTCGGCTTTCCCATAGCATTATTTGATGTGGTGTATTCAGTTCGATTAGACGAGGGTTTTTGTCATTTTCAAAGTGGGGGAAACATGGTTTACACTCTGGAGCTCACGGGTAGAACATAAACACACTACTCGCTTGACCACCAGGCAGCTGATCAGACTGTTTCATCCCGTGTGTACACCGTACCACTTTCATGATCGAATGCAGTGTTTATGCAGGCCCAATGCTACAGCCGGTATTTGTGTCCTGCGCAAACATTTCACTCTTCTCTCCACGTTTTTCCTCCTGTTTGGTGCGAACGGACATCGCAATTTTCGCTGACCCTCAATGTAACTGAAAACAAAATGAAGCCTGCCTGCGCAGTTTGTTAGTATTAGTTGATTTCCGTCTTTAAATAGAATTCAATCTCGAAGTGGAACGCAGTTTGTCTATCGTTCGGATTTTTCTCTGTTAATGCCTTGTTCGATTTATCAGATGAACTTTTCTTACTTTCTCACGGATTTTGTAGGCCTAATAGGTTTCTCCCGGTTCACTGGCATTATGCACTCTCTAAATATTGGTATTAACATTAATCCAAGATGACAGTGAATAAGGGAAAGTGGAATGAGGAAAGCACTGGAGACTATTCATCAAATGAGAAAATTTGATGGGCAGCCATCATGCTAGTTGCAACAACACCAATGTTATCGTTCGCACATCCTTAGCGAACTTCACTCCTTCCCCGTCATCTCAAGCTCTTCGCTTAAGGAACCGTTTAGATTCGTAATGCCTAATGACTGCAAATTGAGGATCGCTTAGCTGGCATTGGTAGACATTCTGGTGTTATGCGCATACCCATTCTGTGTCTAACCACATCACTGTTGCGGGACGCATAAAAGTAATCCATATGCTGACTGGTCCAAATGCTGCTAGTGACAGTCCCTTCGGTTTTGTTAATGGGTGTACGCGTTTGTCTCACAAAGCTTTCGTGAATACAACAGTGTCGATTTTGAACCCACATCCATTGTGTACTGCTTGGTTTTTGATTTAAAGAGACAACTGGATTTTTGGTTCAACCCCAAAACGAAGGTCACAGTTTTAGTAGCATTCATAACCAATGTCCTGGTGTACTTTGCTAGTGAACTGGTGTGTTTTCATCCTTTCAGTCGTTATGCATGCGCCTCGCATCGCTCTTTGTCCTTGGCCTCGTACAGTTGTGCATACTTTACCTCGATTTCGAGCACACATAAAGTCCAACTCGGTGGATAATTCCTACGGAGAATTGGTTCCTTTGATTGGTCTGGAACTGCATGCCCAGCTGGCCAGTCGACGTAAATTATTTTCCCGGGCTTCATATTCATTCGGTGCACCTCCAAATACACAACTGGATTTATTGGATTGGGCCGTTCCAGGAAGTATGCCGGTGAGTCATGCTGGTGAGCTGGATGGCTTGTGTTTGGGAAATCAGATATAACAACTGAAAAAGATTCCGAGGGCTCTCAGATGGGCTTCCGTATTCATCCTATTTTTAACAGTACAACTGTACGATTAGGAATTACTGACGCCTAATCTGAAGCTAGCTGACCAAGAATTAACTTTGAGTGATTACTTCTATGTCCACCACGAGTTTACTAATTTGAGGCGTAATGGAGCATGACGGTTTACTTAATTAAAAGTGGGTGACCGACTCTGACCGAGGCTTATTTGGTCATCAGCTGTTGCTGGGTATGAAGCGCCGGATTCAGTTTACTGGCCGGCAGTGCTTCTGCAACACGCAGATTTTTGTCTTATTTGGCGCGTAAACTGATGCTGAATATGTCTTGAGGGTTGGCTGAGTGCCCCGTGTCCACTAAAGCTTCCACCAATGACAGAGTAATACCTTTGAAGCCATTTTGGACTCGAGTATGACTGAGTATGACATGACCCCACCGAATGTCCGAAATAATTCGTATTTTATCAACAATAAAGGCCAATACTCGTCTATCTTGTTGTATCCTATAAAATACATGTTCAATCCGCAGAATACTGCCGCTGGGATGCGAACAAGTTATCTTCGCGTTAGAAAGCCAACATGAGCCAATGTAGTTAACTAACAGCGTACACAGTTTCATTGTACATATCACTCCTTTTAGGCATAGAATTCCTCCATGACATGATCAGCGATCAACAGAACGCCACTACTGTCGGTCTTCGCTGCCGCGCCCATTAGTATCTTCAGCCTATCGGTTATGGGGTGTTTTAGACACCATCGCGAACGACAAAGGATGCACACCGTGTTTCATGTCTCAGTATAGTTCCTTGCACTTGGTCTCCGCATTATCTGTTGATCTTCAGCTCGGCTCACAGAACTCGGACATCCACGTTACACTTTTGTGTGCTGATTCTGTTTTTTTCTTTTCTGTGTATGTTACCTATGTCACCTAAGAAGGAAATTGAGACGGATGCATCAGTGAACTGAAATTCTTGATGGAGCGTCAATGGTTCCCTTCTACTATGACGAAAAATTGATAATACAACCTTATGTAGGGAGTATCGTAAAGTTTACGTACTCATTGATCGAAGTTGATATCGGTTATGGCACATTGCCAATCGACAAAAATCGGCATTGTTCCGAGTTCAACTCGTCTTAGAGGTTGTTTTTGGTCCCCAAACTTAGGCACAATCAAATGGTAGTATATAAATGTTTCAAGTACCCAGAATGCGTTAGACACGTTTGCATCAGTTCAGCTATTTTGTCTAACACAATGATGCTTATTTTTGTCCAAAGGCTCTCAAAACCGTTCCCATTGTTATCTTACTTTGTTAATCACTGCCTTTCAAGTATGTATGCTTCTGCGATAGATATTCACCTTATTTTCAAAGTGGGTCAATTTACGCGTATACGGTCCTCAATGAATATATGTTTCACTGCTCAGTTCTTGTTTACTTCATTTCTATCCCACAGTTACTCAATCGACGTTGCGTCGAACAGGCGATATTGGCTGCATTTGCTCTGAACTGCACTGTGAATCACGTGTCGCGCTTCGATCGGAAACACTATTTTTACGCGGATTCACCAAGTGGTTACCAGATTACACAACAAGCCCATCCAATCGCGTCTGATGGCTACTTGGACTACGTATGGATCGGACCGGTTCACTTATCCGGTTTGGATCTGTCCAATACAACCCCGTTAATAATGGTCAACAATTCCACCGGGAAACAGTATCTCCGATCCCGAGCTCGAATCAGGCGTGTGCAAATCGAACAGGATACGGGGAAAAGTTTGCACGATNNNAGTTCGCACGAGAAGTCTGATTGACTTTAACCGGGCTGGTAGGATTCTCGTACCCCAGTTGGTCTAGCGTCCGTTTATTCGAAGTCTTAAGATTTCGATGTCTCTTTTGGGTACATTAAAGTTTGCAGTGGTGGTGGGGTAG